ATATATGAAATTCAAATTTTTAATATTATAATATAATTAAATATTCAAATGTTACCATTTATACAATTTCCTTTATTACGTTTCCTTAATTAAGATTTATTAATAACTTCCATATTTAATAGAAAATATTGTAAATGATTGAAATACCCTTATTGATTAAATTTAATTAGAAAAAAATAAAAAATTTCTATTGGTCGAAATTAATTTACACGGTTTCTTAGAAATGCACGGTTTTCATTTGAACGTGCCCATGTATATATATATATATATATATATATAAATTAATAATAAAGAGTATAGTTGGAATATTCTATTTGATGTTAAAAACGATTTACTGTAATACAATCAGAGCTCATAAATGTTATATAAACAAGAATCAAATGTAACGCAATGAGCTTCCAAAATCTACACGACAGAGCAGTAACGTTGATCAAGACTTTATGATAATATCTTTTAAGAGTTTTATTATATTCAATTTCTCGTCATGATTTCATATCGATTCATAACGCCACAAACTTGCACAACAAGAAAATCACAACAAATCGATCTTATGGCATAGAAAACCAATTTACGGTGTAATCTTTTGCAGCATGAGAAGGAACGTTTTCCATGACCTTTTCTTGTCCCTTAGGATAATAGATTCCAGTACGACTATCAGGGATCCACACGACATCAGCATCCGCAGGTGATCCACCATAGAAGTTGTTGTTCTTAGCTTCCTCGTGGTTCAATCTTGGAGTATCCACGCCTCCACTCTTTTTATGATACCCCTTTCTCAATGCTGGTCTGTATTACGTAATTTCCAAGCTTAGGGGTGTCTTAGATACACAGTAACGAACGTAGTATGTAAATAACGAAGAACGCTACAAACCAAATGCTGTGTGATATATATCTGATTCAAATTTATCATTAAAAAGAAAAGAAAAGAAAGGGTTTACTTGATGCAGTGGATATGCATGTTTTGAGCTCCTCTTCCAATTGCTGCAGACATCTTGCAGGGATCAGCTCTTATCTACATCATTCACAGCTTCACCCTCTTTTATACCCTCTGTATGTATGGATGGATGGATGTATGTCATGAACCACAAGATGCAGGTTGGTTTCCCAAGAAAAAGGGTAAAACGCCATTTTGAGCCTCATACATCATCATGATCTCATGTTGTTGTGTCCATCCCTACAAATATGAACCACATTTGTATATGAAAAAGAAAGGATAGAGATGGGTACCACCCTCCATCCTTTAATTGTATGGGCTTGGAAAGATGATGCATCAAAGTCTATATATTTGTATAAACCTGAGTCATGCCTTATCCAATCATAAACTGCCACCTTTCTTTCCAACTTGTTTTGGGGATGGATATGATTTATCCTACTTTTAGTTTTATATATGTATCTATATATCTATACCGTATTATATTATAAAGTATTTGATAAAAAAATTTAAAAAACTATTTTTTATGTATGAAGTACAGTTTAAAGATGCGTGTTACTTAAAATTCAAGATTACAACTAGATTTATGCGTAAGTACAACTTATTAAAGCTTTATGTTTGAATTCGTATAACTAACTGCAGATAAATATAATCAAATATTTCATTTTAAATATAAAAAATATAAAATATAATTAGGATAATCATTGAGTTCTAACAGAATATTTGATCATTATCTTTATTAAAAAATATATTATTAAACCAAAAATAAAATAAAAAATGAATTAAGAAAATGCACAAAAAAAGGAGAAATTTTAAATAGTTATTTGGTACTAATATCAATATATTTTTTTCAATTTTTTATAATATCTTCGTATTTATATTTTATTCAAAAATAAAAAATTATCGTTTTCTCAAACACATAAAACCATATTATTACATCGATTAAGACAAAAAAACATACAAAACAAAACATTAAAATCGATATGTATTTCGCTACATTGTGCGAGTATCCTATAGTTATATTATAAATCATTTCGCAAAAACTCTTAAAAGTCATTCTTTTATGCATAAAGTACTGCTTATTAATGTATATTACTTAAAATTCAAGATTAAAAGTAATTTTGCGTCAATACAACTTATTAAAGCTCCATTTTTAAATTAGTGTAACTAACTACAGATAAACATAATCAAATACATGATAAACATTCATTTTAAATATGGAAAATCTAAAATATAATTAAGATAATCATTTGAGTTTTAACAAAATGTTTAATTATTATCTTTATAAAAGATTATATGTAAACCAGAAATAAATTACTTTGTTATTAAATCTAAATTAAATTATAATAAAAAATTAAATTAAAGACGTTATACCAAAAAAACGAAAACCATTAAATTTGATACTAATATCGATTTTATTTTTTTTATTTTTTTATGCTATATTCAGATGTATATTACATTCAAAAATCAAAAAAATTATCGCTTTCTCAAACCCACATAAAATCGTATTATATCGATAGAGACAAAAATTAAATACTAAACACTAAAATTAAAATTTATCTCGCTTAATTACGCGAGTACCCTTCTAGTTATGTCAAATAACTACATTCAAATTAAAACACTAAATGTCATGAAAAAGTAAGAACTGAAAGTTTATATGTGATTTATTAAAAAAAATTCATTTAAAGATGTTTATATAAACTCATATGAATAATTTGTAATGTTGGTTCACATACGTATTTTCATATTTTTTCAACAGTTCATATAAGAATCTATTTTTCTTAACTTCTCATGATATCTAATCGTGTCATTTGAAACGACACATGAACTACTATGGTTAAGTTTATTACAACAAAATTAATAGAACAACTTCCGAAAATACGAATAATTTGTTTATCAGATTGAGTTTTTTCTTTGTAATTATTTTTTGGGCAAATTGATGAAAAAATAATATACTTTAACTTGATTCCTATTTTAGATAACATTCTTTCAAAACTTTCATTTTGGTACCTAAGATGTAAAATTTTAAACATTTAAGTACCCTGATAACCCGTTGAAGCATTAACCGGTTATCATGCTAATGTGACGAGTGATGTGGTATCCAACTCAGTATTATTTGCTATTCAACCCAATTTCATCCCATCACTCGCCACATCAGCATAGTAACCGGTAAATCCTTCAACCAGGTTACCTAGATACTTAAATGTTTAAAGTATGTTATTTTCAGTATTCTTTTAAAATGGAATCACACACACTCGTGTGTAAACCAGAAAAGTTGAGCAGTTATTTCCATAAAAAACCCAGTAATACTTAAAAGGTAAAATTGTTACTACAATAATGTAACATTAACATCCCATAACTACTAACAGGGTGCCTTTGTATAAACTACATGCAGATTGCATATTCAGCTTCTGATACATCTTTTGATCTGAAAACCCTTTCAAAAACTCGAATCCTCTGTTGTTGGTCGCCTCAGAAAGTAACGTAAACTATTCGCCAAAACCTGCCAATTTTTCATCAAGTTACATAAACATACACGGTGTCCAATTAGTTTGAGCTTGGGCTCCAATGGTCAAAAGTGTCTGGAGGTCAAAGGTTGGAATCCAAGGGGAACAAAAATCCCCTTGTGGCCACGGAGGTTCAAATGCGGTTACTCCGGGCTACCCACGAAGAGAGTGGTCGCCCTGGAATTAGTCGGCTCGCGTAGCGGGTTGGATATACAGGTTAATCAAAAAAATATATGAAGAAATTGAAGATTTAATCTGGGATTTTATGCTTGACTTCACCTGTTGAAGTGGCTCGATAAGCGATTTGCCCCTGTAATTCACATGAAATTTGGCCTTCGCTAACAACCCCTACAACATAAGATCTTGTGAGCGATTCTAACTTTCTTCCAAGATTCCTGCCTTACAAGTTTCTATTTTGTTTGCCGTTCAGGTAACGACATATATGTTTAAATGTCTTAATAGACTGATTCATAGGACTTAAAGTTTATAGGACCAAACAATTATGCATCCTACTTAAAGGCGTATAATAAATGACAAAACGTTTTTGGGCGTTCTAACAGGTTTTTTAGAACATTTTGAAATAAAATGTCCTATTAGTCTTTTTGTCCCTTTATATGACATTATGTTATAAAGTATTTTATATAAATAAGATACAGTGTCCTACAACGTGATCATAGGACACTTCTCAAAAGTGTCTTATTATAGAAAATCAAATATGACATCTTATTTTAAAAGTAACCTAAAAAACTTATTATCATCTTGTTGCAGTGACGGACCTACAGTAGAGCATACAATGGCATGTGCCACCGTATTATTTCTCCGTCGAAGGGTAAAAAATTTAGGTTCGTGAAAGGTGCAACCGTATTAATTTGTTGTGTGCCACCGTATGAATTTTGAAACTAAAATGAGAACAATTTTTATTTGGTAGAGTTGGTTTGCAAGGCTTTTATTCTACCCCAGACCCAAGTTCAAATTCTGTCAGTATCATTTTCTTAGTCAAATGGTGCCACCATTTGAAAAAAAAAATTGTACATTTATTTCTTACAGTCAAATGGTGTCACCGTTTGAAATTCCCTATATTTTTTTTCTTATAGTCAAACGGTGTCATCGTTTGAAAAAAAAATTGGGTCCGTCCCTGTCTTGTTGTAACCCTTTATATAGGATATACAATTGTTTGGTCATATAAGTAAACATACGTCCAATAAGGGGATATTTAGACATATTTGGAATCCTATAAAGCTGATATTTTGTTGCAGGGAGAAATTTGTTACTATACCTCAGTGTCGAACTCTCCTGATTCTACTGCAACATTTATATCAGTAAAAATCTTCACAAGATCCACCAGTAATCCAGGCCGATCTGCCGTCTCCACAGAGAGCAGGCTGCATAATTTAACACTCTCGTTAAAGATATGTGTATTAGAGTGTGTGTGTGTGTGTATATATATATATGTATATATATTTGCTCTTCTTCCCGTTGCCTACCAAACTTGGAGAAATTAATGACCATGAAAAAGGTAGCTCCTACTGTACCTTCGATTAGGCCCATCATCGTATACATGTATGCGGGTTGCAATGTCCACATCAATCTGGATTAGGGAAAAAGTTATCTCAAACTCTTATGATCAACAAGAACCGAAGGGACGAAATGTTTTCAAGGGATTTGGATTTTGTGGAAAGATTTGGAATCTTTGGTGTGTTTGGTTTGTAGTATCTGGAATGGAATTCATAGATAATTTATAAATTAAATTATAAATAATCATAAAAATGATTAAATTACTTTTTACTAATTGATTATTATAAAACGAATGATTTTAACATATTTTGAAACATTATTATAAAAACTCCTCTGGAATCCCACAAAATACCAACCACCCCATGGGATTTCTAAATCCAATGTTTGTGGGATTTCAATTCTAGACTTTTCTTCAAACCAAACGCAGAATCGGAATGGAATTCAATTCCAAATCCTACCATATCCAGCAAACCAAAACGGGACTTATGAATTTTAATAATATTTGCAGCTTATAAGATAAGCCATTTGACTCTTGAAAATCATAAGAGGGTCCTAATTTGGATGTTAAATACCTTCTGTTTTGGTGCCTCGATCCCAAAGGTTTCTCCCATTGCTAATTGGGCACTTGATTCCTGAACCGACCAATTTCATAAATTTCAAGCGTTGAATATAAAAGCAACGACCGGTGTTTAAGCATGGAAATTGAACAAGTATAATACCGGATGGTACAAAAGAAGATTGCTGATAATCGTTAAACGAATTGCCTCAAGTAACTCTGGGTCCTCAACTTTACGGCCAGTTGAACTACAAAAATCCCGCAATATAAATGAATCAGGATTTACAAAACTGATGCTTAAGAAAAGATGGATCGAGCTGAATACTTACGCTTTAGTGATCAGAAACTTAGTGTGCTTTCCTGAAGAATCCAGATGAACATTTGCCTTGACGACATTCAGTCCAAGATTTTGAAGAGCCCTCATCTGTATATACATTTTCCCCCACAATAAACAAACTAAACCAAAAGAACCCGGTATATCCCACCTGAGGTGAGGTGGGTCCCGAAAGGTAGGATATACACAGACCTGACCTCTACCTTCAAAGTGTAGAGCAGTTGTTTCCCCACAATCTCACGTAAATATAATTTGGGAAATTATCCAAAATAGTCATTCTGGACTCCCCAATTTATTTTATAGCGGCTTTTCTAATGAAGTGAATGAAATATCCAAGATTTCACTAGTAGCAGCTTAGCAACTTGCGGAATCTACTTTTTATGAATTTAATACTCATAAAAGACCAAATGCACAAGTTGCTAAAGTGCTACTTGCAAAATGTTGGCGTAGCAAGTGGGTAAGTAGCACTTTAGCAACTTGTTAAAATGGGACTTCCAAATCACCATTTTGCAAGTAGCACTTTAGCAACTAGCAAAATTGCTACTTTATGAATAAGTGTCACTTGCGAAATCTTGCCTCTTTCATTCAATTGGTTAAAAAAGTGGCTATAAAGTGAAGAGGGGAGACCGAAAATGGCTATTTTGAACAATTTCCTGTATAATTTTCTAAGTAAAGAGACAAAAGGTTTCATACAGTATCAAGAAGAGCTCCAAGGCGATCCCCAAAGGTAATCTCTACCACAGTTGCATTCAGATCTGAATCCTGGTCTATAATCACTTTAGGTATTGGAACATCATCAGTTTCCTGATAGATCCCATCCTGCTGACCACCATTGTGATCCAATGGAATCAAGTAAATTTACAATAAACAAAACTGAAGTTTAAAAATAGATTTATTTCTTGATACCTCCACAGCTGTGGCTGAAGCTTTTGGAATCACAGTACTCAGTGTATATGACAATCTGGGTGAAAACCCACATCAGGAAAATAAATTAAAAGCCCTAGATTCTGAATCCTGATGCACATAATTGCACTATTGTTCTACTTCCATTAAGAAACTGTAAGTAAATCAGCTGTGAATTCGTGAATCATACTTTAAACTTCCTCGATTGATGTGAAATTAAGACAACAAGAACAGAAATCAACCATTGAGAATGGCGTAAATCAATGACAATAAGATCTTAAATCCAGATTTTATATACACACAATAGGAACAATCCTTGGAAAACATTAAAGATCAACAACTTAAACAACGAATTGAAATAAAACTGGATTGGGATTTCTAAGTTAATTTAAAAGCAAGAAGGTGATGAGCATATATACCTTGATTTGGGGGAAACAGAAGGAAATCTAGCAGGATTCGAAGTAAAAGAGCAGCTAGAAATTGCAGATTTAGAAAAAGGTTGGTTCGCAAATGCAACCAAATTGTTGTAAACCGCAACTGTAGAACCACAAGCAGCCATAGACACACCCATTGCAGATTTCATGGTTAAATCAACTGTTGTAAAGAAAAGGGAAATGAGAAATTGAATTGGGGAAGAAGGTAGGCATGACGAAAAGCAAGAGCTGAATATGAATGAATGATGATGGAGACGGCTGAACCAAATACGTCAACTTGTAGTACACTTGTAATTCATTGGTATCAGCACACAACACACATTCATGGAAATCATTCTAAATTTGTTCAATTTGATTCACAGCTTTTCTCATTGTGTTCTTGCTAAAACTTAATTATTAGTTAAATATTTTTATTCATGGCAATTTATATGAAAAAGCAATGTAATTTAATTTGATTTTTATTTTGAGTAACGTATTTTTAAAACTTTTATTTTAGTACTTAAGATGTAAAGTTTTACAATTTTTTTAGTAACAAAAGGAGATTTTTTTTTGTTGAAATCAATATTATGATTGTTAAAAGTTAAACATGCTAAATGTATTTCATAACCGTGGCTGACCGAATAAGTCCATAACGAACAGCTAGATATAGTTATACGAATAAGCCATATAGCTTATACAGTCCATTAAGTCGCAACCAAACAGCCCCTAAGTCGAGTATATTTAATATATTTTAGATTTAAAAAACAATCTAAATTTTTCCAAAACATGATCCGTTTTATTTGGAATATCGAGGGTTTTCGTGACTGTTATCTATAAAATTTTATAAATAAATAAATTTAATGGATATACAAGAAGCTAAGGGGCCGTTTACTAAACGCTTACTCGATAGGTGCTTACCGAACAATTTTCCTCACCGGACGAACATGACAATGCCCAAGAATCTTACCTGATAAAAGCGATGATAATGATAGAGAGTCTTACCCGATAAGTAAGGGTGACAACTCTTACCCGGGTAAACGCTTACCATATATATATATATTGTTGCATACGATACCATTTTGATATACTAAAATCTTACTCAAAAAAATAGATTATAATATTGGCTTCTAACAATAAGCACTTACCAAGTAAGCATTTAAGTAAACAGACCAACTCTAATTCATCAAAAGTTCAGATCAAGACTGGTTTAAGATGGAATTACATTTGATAGATATCAAAGTGAATAAATTTATTGAACCTGAAGACAAAAGAATATAACTTGTGATCTCTACACCTTCCTCTAACATATACACCATCAATTATGAATCACTTTGTACATTAAACGACTCCGAAACAATGATTGGGTTTCGACTACGACAATGTTGACGAGTCCGACAAATACACGTTCTGGCGAGACTTGTTGGTAACCACCGGGTTTCCGGTTTCATCTAGCTCAATAATAGCGGTCTCACCCTGCTTGAACTCTCCGCTAAGAAGTGATTCGCTTAACGGATCTTCGATTATGAGAGTGAGAGCCCTCCGAAGAGGTCTTGCACCATAACTCCGGTCAAAACCTTGTTCGCATATAAGCTCCATTACTGGCATAGACACCTCTAAATTGATTCCAAACGAAACGAGCCTCTTTTTCACCTCTTCGAGCATCATATTCAAGATCTCGAGCATCTGCAAATGACACGGATTTAGATGAGCGTTATCGAGTTTCAATTTAATGTTCCAGAAATCATTGATGGTTACCGGAAAGACAAAATTTTCTGTGTGAATATATGGAATCCCATTAGATTACTTTCAAATAGGTCCAAGTCCAGCCAATGTGGGACTCGACATTTTGGATGGGAAGTAACTTGAAAGCCGACATTAATGAAATATACCTGAGTCTTCTCAAGTGAACGGAAAACGACAACTTCGTCTATCCTGTTGAGTAATTCGGGACGAAAATAAGCCTTAAGTTCTTCCATTACTAGTGATTTCAATCCAGCATACGAAGCCGAAGACTCATCATCAGCAAGCATGAAACCGATGGAGTTGTGTCTACCCTTTGCAATAGCCGTAGAACCCACATTGGAAGTCATCACCACCAACGCGTTCTTGAACGATACTCTACGACCCTGCATGACCATAAAACCTAACGGTATTAGAAAATTAACTCAAATTTGGTGTTTTCTTCTTCCATCTTTCAGATGCACAAACCTGAGAATCTGTGAGGTGACCATCTTCAAAGATTTGGAGAAGAATGTTGAAGATATCGGGATGAGCTTTTTCTATTTCGTCAAGAAGCACCACGGTGAAAGGGCGTTTACGGATGGCTTCAGTAAGTGTGCCGCCTTCTCCATAGCCTACGTAACCTGGTGGTGACCCGATTAGCTTGCTGACCGTATGCCGCTCCATGTATTCACTCATGTCCAGTCTCAGCATCGAACCTTCCTGTAACAACACAAGATTCAGTCACAAAAACATTCATAAGTTAATTGTTGGCTGAAAAGTGAAAACTAGTGGTTGGCTAATAAGTTAGTTGTTGGCTGATAAACTAATCATGTTTGGTAAAAACAATATAAAATGCTGAAAATTTAATTGGAAAAATAAAAGGGGAATAATTGGAAAAAGGTGGAAAAAACCCTAGAGCTTATTGAAATGCTACTTGACTAACCAAACGGGTTTTCTCCATAAGCTCAAAAAATAAGTTAGCTTATAGCTGCCGAGCATGGCTTAAGACTGTAATGCTGAAAAACTGTCCCTTCGTTCATAATATTGCAACTGGAAAATAAAGTTTAAGAGGAAAATAAATTCTTACCGAGCCAAAGTAGCATGCCGCTAGAGCTTTTGTGAGCTCGGTTTTGCCGACTCCTGTGGGTCCACAAAAAAGCATGGTTGCAATTGGTCTGTCGGGATCGTTTAAGCCAACACGGGATCTCTTAACAGCACGACAGATGGCATCCACAGCTTCATCTTGGCCACAAACTCGTTCCTTTAGCCGTTCATCAAGTCCCACGAGTAGCATTCTATCATCAGCAGTAAGCTGCTGAATTGGAATCCCCGACCATAGTGAAGCAACCGCTGCTATTTCACCAGCTCCGACTATGGAAGGCCTGAAAGTAGTTCAAAACAAGAAGTTAGATTAAGAACCAAAAATAACCACCAAAAAGTTTGCGCCTAATATGGGGCCGCTACAACAAAATTGGCTTTATAGGACACCAAATATGTCCAAGGGCCTGTTTGTTGAAAGCTTAATGAGTTTAATGGGACTCGCAGCTTATTCGGTTAGCTATGTATGATTGTTTGATTACTTGATCGTGGCTTAATGATATATAAAGTAGCTTATTCAGTAAGCTTCTAGGGGGAGCGTTATGCAGAGAACCAAAAAATTCCAAAACTGCCCCTCCCAATTAAAAAAACACTCCTTCCATCTATGAAAAATCCCTCCCAAACAAATACCTTCACAATCTATACAGACGGATTAGTCACAAAGACAACTTTATCCATACAGGACTTGATGGAAAATCAACCAAACAACATAGGTCGCACAATTATTTGGTCCTATAAAATTAAGTCCTATAAAGCAATCTATTAAAACATTTAGACATATATGGCATTTTATAAAGCCGATTCTGTTGTAGTGGGAATAAGCACAAGGAGAACATACTCTTGGTCATCAGATGTGAGTGTCAAAGCAGCCTCATCGTCGGTTTCTTGTGGGTCAACAGGATTGCTGCGTTTGCTCTCTAAAACCTGCATTTGGAAAATATTGATGATATCATTACACGAAAGCAATCTAATCGACATTCTATTTCTGGCAACTAAAGAAGAATCAAGACAACGATTTTACCACATCATGCATGGCCTGGACGGCTTTAATCTCTTGCCAATACTCGTTTGGTGACTTTGAAAGCACGTCAGTTTGCTCTTCCTTCTTCTTTCTGAAAGCTTCCATTCTCGCTCTGCTGCCTGCTTCATCAATGAGATCAATGGCTTTGTCGGGAAGATATCTGTCGGGAATGTATCTTGATGACAGGTACACAGCAGCATTTATGGCATCCAAAGTGTATCTACATTTGTGATGAGCCTCGTATTTTTCCTGCAGCCCCATCAGAATCCGGACTGCGTCCTCCTGTTTTTCGATAAAATAATTTAAACGTTATAGCCATCTGTTATACTTGTACATAACATTTCATATGCACACATGCACACACACACATATATACAGGGGAAATCAAATGAGAAACTCAAAAATATTGAGACCATGCGAACCGGTGAAACATGTACAGTTCACATGTGAGACGGTATATGTCTCTATGTTTCACATGTGAAAAAATAATACCACTTTTGAATACTAAGTTTATGTGTGTATATATACATACATACATATATAGGGAGAGTTCCAATGGGAACATGGTTGAAATAAGAGAACATGAAAATGGCCAAATCACATGTGATTTTGCCATTTTCATATGTGATTACGGAATACGGTCAACTCTCGACTTGGACCGTGACCTCAAAGTCTCGTGAATCACGTGATTTTACACATGAGCTGTACTGTTTCACATGTGAACTGTATATGTCTCTACGTTTCACATGTGAACTGTATATGTCTCTACGTTTCACATGGGAAAAAATAATACCACGTTTGAATACTAAGTTTATGTGTGTATGTATACATACATACATACATACATATATATAGGGAGAGTTCAGACGAGAACATAAAAACGGTCAAATCACATGTGATTTTGCATTGAAATCACATGCAATTACGGAATACGGTCAACGCTCGACTTAGACCGTGACCTCAAAGTCTCGTGAATCACGTGATTTTACACATGATTTTAGCGTAAAATCACTTGTGATTAGGGCGTTCTCGTATTCTCTTATCTGGTTACTTATTGTCTTTTGTGACTCTATATATACACATATGTAGGGGTTCTTGTTGGACAAATTTTCTAACATAAAGAATATATAAAAATGACTGAAAATACAAATAATCAGGTCATGATTATCGAATTACCTGATTTGGTTCTTCAATTAGAACAGGCTGAAATCTACGTGCCAATGCTTGATCCTTGTCGAAATGCAATCTATACTCATCCATAGTCGTAGACGCAATACACTGCAATAACAACATTCTTGCTTACAAAAGACGCATAATTTAACACAGACAACACTTAACGCAACTTCAATATCAACTAGAATTCTTCAGCCTATCGCATCGGTGTTACATATGCAAACAAAATTCAAAATTTTACTTCAGGAAAAAGGAAGCCGAAATTGAAAGAAAAGCTTTAAATTGGTTCGAGAGAAAAAGACCTGCAATTCACCCCTCCCAAGAGATGGCTTCAAAAGATTACCAATATCGAGTCCAGATCCTTTGTTTCCTCGTCCAACGGTGCCCGACCCGATGAGGGTATGGACTTCATCGATGAACAAGATCACGTCCCCTGCAATGCCAACATACTGTACAATTAAGCCAAAATCCCGTGATCAAAAGTAATCAAGAACCTAACAAGATAGAATGCAAGAAGGTGCTTGAGGGTGTTCCATCGTGAGATATAGAATATGGTCCCCCAAAAAATGTCGGGCCTAATTATAATGTTTTAGGCTTTTATTGTTTATGCCGATTTGGCGAATCCCAATTCCAGCTTCAGAATAACATTAGAAGAATGATAATTTCAAATGTAAATTGTTATTTAAAGACATTTTGATTATTTTGATTCGTATGACTTTTAAAATAATAAATATGGTATTAACTTTTATATTTTGTTTTATTTATTACATGTCATGTCGATCTATAGTCTTGGTACAAGTGTAATAGATTCTCCATAAAGATTGAAACGACCCTGATATAATATGTGCTTACCTGACTGCTTTACCTCCCTAATTAGGGTAGTTACGCGTCCCTCTAGTTCTCCCCTCTCCTTCGCACCAGAAATTAACAAACCTATATCCAACGACATAACCCGTTTCGTCTGCAACGAAACATACAGAAAAGGTTAAACCAAAATCCAAGAAAACGTACATCAAACACTCATAAAGGACTACCCACCAAGAGAAACACCGGGACTTTCGCATCTGAAATACGAATCGCCAACCCTTCTGCAATGGCTGTTTTCCCAACCCCAGCTTGGCCAAGAAGAATAGGATTATTTTTCGTTCTTCGGCAAAGAATCTGAACAATTCTTTCGACTTCAGAATCTCTACCAATGACAGGATCAATAAGCCCATTACTAGCCCTAGCTGTAAGATCCACACAGAATTGATCTAAAGCACTCTTCCCTGAAAAATTTCCCAATTATACATTACCATTTATTGATATAAGAACATAAAAAGGAATGAAGAGAAAGAAAGAACATTTGAGACCCAAAAAGCATATACCTTTTACTTTTTCAAGAGATCTCATAGATGTTTTATTTGACATCTGTCTGGATGCAGGAGGTTCTCTTCCATCTTTGGCAAGCTCTCCTTGCAATCTAGAGATTGCCACATCTGCTAAGCGATTCATATCTGCCCCTAATCTGGGAAACCAGAATTGGATCATTAATACATCACAGATCATCATTATACAGTTAAATGGAGAAGGCATAATAGCTTAAGATTCATCAATTAGGGTCGGTTTGGTTGGTTTTCCGTTAGGTTCTATATAGATAAAGTTGTTTGTATGGATTAATCTGTCTAAATGGATTGAAAAGGTTTTTGTTAGGAGGGTTTTCTCATAGATGGAAGGACTCTCCTAGAAGCTTATTGAATAAGCCACTTTCTATATCATCAAGCCACATCCAAACAGTGACCAAATAACCTGTAAGCTCATTAAGCTGCTAACAATCTACATACATTTGTGGATGTTCATATATGTGTCGAAATAAGAAGGTAATAATGGCAGGATTCACTTACTTCTTGAGGACACGACCAGCACTGCCATCATCTACAGTAAGCAAACCAATGGCGATATGCTCAGGTGCGATGAATTTATAACCCATAGTTCTTGAATACTCAACTGCAGCTTCGAATACCCTCTTCGTACCATTAGAAAACGATACGTCTGTGGCGGAGGTTGACGGCGGAGCTGCCGCCCCCAAACCACCGTCGTCATCCCAAATACTCCGAACAGCTTCACGAGCAGCGTCAATGGTGATTCCCGATTCAAGAAACCCACCAGGAGCACGATCTTCAGCAATTAAACCCAACAAAAGGTGTTGTGTGTACACCATGTCTTTGCCCAAAGCTTTAGCTTCTCTCTGTGAAAACATCACGGCTTTAATGGCTCTTTCGGTAAATCTCTCGAACACCCCAGATACAATATAGAACGACCCACGTCTTTTTCGAGAAAGGGTGTAATTATTCATCGATTTCGAGAGTTCATGAGAGAGAGAAACTCCAAAGTAAGACGACGAACTAGAAGAGGAAGCGTTACAGGTAGTGGAAGAGGTGAATCGGGTCAAGGGTTTGGAGGAGAAACGAGAAACGGGTCTGGGTGGGGCGAAATTGAGACGATGAAGCGATAGTGGAGAAGAACATGATGATGATGATGAGACCTCCATTAAAGAGGACATAAATTAATCCTGTAAACTATAACTATATACAAAAATTGAAGAAAAATAGTGGGTTTAACAGATAAGAATTGGAGTGTATGAATCAAATCCGTGTGTGTTTGTATCTACAATTATTCATATATACGATTGAAGATCGAACAAGAAGAAAAGGGAAGAGGATGAAGACTACACGTTAAAGGCTTTTTGGGTTTGATGATTTGTTGATTGGTTATTTATCAATGGCGTAAAATGTTGGGTGCTTTGATTGCCGTTAAATTTTAACGACACGGTGGTCAAAGAGTCGGTTCCTTCCATCGTCTTCACTGCAAGATGCCAAATATTGGAAGGTTGCTTGAGAGATGAAAGAGGTTTAACGGTCAACCGATGGCGCACGCAATGCCACCGTTGCCTTCCCTTCCTACAAATCTAGATACCATCGACGATCCTACTTTCTCATTTGTGGTATGGGATGGGAAAACAAAAGGTTTTCACATACAAAGGATGGCGGATTTTTTAAAGCATATAAATCAATTTTAAAAGCGTTGATTTTATACGGTGTGTATATGTGTATATAAGTAATTTATACGGTATATATATATATATATAATATATATATATATATATGTGTGTAGGAATCAAGAAACAACTCTAAATACTTGTATGCACATATACATATCTTACAGATAGATGATTACCAGAGTGTTTCTAATTTTTTTTTATTTTTTTTTTTCAGGTTTTCTAGTGAACTTCTTCTTATAAGCAAAAAGTGTAATTTCTTATAAGAACCAACATTGTAAAAACTAGGGATAGCAAAAAAACCCGAAACAGATGGTGAAAACCCAAAAATGAAACTTTCGGGTCGAGTTCAGGAACATCTTATCGGGGAGAGGATTGGAGACAAATTCGGGGATTTTAACAGGGACGTGGCCGGGAACGGTGATCACCGGCCCGGCCCTATATATATATATATATATATATATATATATATATATATATATATATATATAATATCATTAAAAGAAAATAATAACATTAAAATTTAAAAGACTTTTATCCACTTTACCTCAACAACCCAAATAAAGCTCACGAAAAAATCTAGTTTATTTGTTTAAAACCGTGATTTTGGTTGTATGATGTTTGAATTTCTGTTTAGTTTTATAATGTAATCTAATACATTGTTTGTAATAGTTCGATTATGTTTGAGACATTTAAATTAAATGTAAGTTTAAAAAAAATTGTAATTTACTTTTAATTATGAAAATTATCATACTGTAATTTTTTTCAGATCGGGTTCGGGTTCGGTTATAACCAACGTTGAAAAAGATGATTTTTACCCTTAACGGGTTCCCCAACGGGGATCGGGGAAACCGCAGGGACCCGATGGGGATCGGGATGGTTTTAGCTATCGGTTTCAGAGATGGGGATACCAATACCTGATCCGAACCCGGCCCGTTGCCATTTCTGGTAAAAACTTCTTATAATAATTTCACCCTCTTTGAGTTCTTGTACAATAACTTTGACTCTTACCTTAAAAAAATTGGTGTGAAGTGATAATTTACGAGTTCTTTGTTATATTTTATTGACTTTTATATCCTATATAATAATTAATATGTATATATTTATTAGATTTATATTATACATGGGACCACAAAATGAGTTCTTATAAGAACTACCATTCTAGAGCTTTATGTAGATTATTAATTTGGTGAATTGGAAATGAGGTGGCAAGAAAAATGACAAAAAGTAGTTTCTTATAAGAACCTGCATCGAAGATATGCTCTTATAAGAACCAACGTTGTAGAAAGTTTTTATAATAAAATATTTACATCTTTTGAGTTCTTGTACAAGAACTTTGGTTCTTACCTTGAAGTTGGTGTGAACTGTGAAATGACAATTTACTATTTTTTTTTATATATTATAATATAAATGTTGAAAAAAACATACGAGACCCGTAAAAAAGTTCTTATAAGAACTACCATTTGTGGACTTTTATGTAAGTTCTTAAGAAACTTGCACCGAAGATGCTCTAGTTATTTATGTGATCTAATAAGTATTTGGTTTCGTATATGTCTCGATTGTTTCTAATCTAAAATCGTGATCATAATTAATAAATATTATCATATTTCATAAATATATTGATTATAATGATAGTGATTATTAGACATTTTGTGGGAAATGGGAGTTCCATTTAAAACCATTGAACGATATTAAATTAATAAGTTATTGATTTCAGAAATTTTGAATTACAGATTCAAATAAAGGGCATTATGGGTATTTATAGATCTTCTCTCTCTCATCCCTCTTCTTTCTTTCTCTCTCTCTCCTCTCCTTTTTCGTCCCCAACCCATTCGAACACCTCCACCCCAATTTTTTTGAACATAGTTTGCACAAAACACATTCATCCCCAACATGTTCAACTACCACTCCTAAACACATAGTGCACAACACACTTTGTGTACAGTTTGTAAATGGGGTTACGTGGTTGGATGGCAATATGCATAGTGCATGCACCACATATTGTGCACAGTGTGCACACCATCGTTGCTCAATTGTTCACAAGATCTAGTTCGAATTATGAGTAGATTTTTAGATCTGGAGGGGGGCAATAAGGCTGGATGAATCCTTGTATGAGATTGAGATCAGGCTTCAGTTCTTTTTCCTGGTGGTTTCAAGATCTGGATTTAATGTATAATGAAGATTGAGGGGGGTAGATAGAGATGGACATTGTGGTAAAGAGAAGACCACCCGTTCACGAGATATGGATTCACCACTAGTATATGGTATGTTGAACGGTGGTGGTGGTGGTGGTGGTGGATGGTTTAAGCTGCATGAGGTAGTGAACGTAAAGATGCAGGGATGAGAGTATATGGTGGCGACACGAGGTGGTCGAAGATGGCGGTGTTGCTACGGTGAAGATACTTTAAAGACCACAGTTGTAACAATTCCCAACGACAACGACAAGGAGAGGATGGTGTAGTGGTGGTGGTCAGTCTGTAAATGGTGATATATATATATATATATATATATATATATATTGAAAATTAATTTTTAGAACTTTCATTTTCTATAAATTTCCCCATCATCTATCGGATATGTCAAGTGTTGATATCTGATATATATTATCCATCGAATATAACACAAGTTTTATATCCGATATACATTATCCATTTGATATAACACAAGTGTTTTATATGTATTCTATGTATTCGATACAACACAAAAGACTAACATGCGAACCTCGCTCAACAAAGAAAATTATTAGCTCAAGGTTTCAAATCCTACTCACCATCGGATCTGTAGCTTAAATAAAATGTGAGATTTCCCCATCTGAAGGTAAGAATCCTATTGACGTATCTTCATAGGTCGGTCGGTCGGTCGGTCAATCTTGATTCTCATAAAGTCACATTTTATTCTAAGTTATTGAAGCATCCGATGTTTGGACTTTATAATTGATAAGAATGTGTCTTTAGTGTATCCGAAATATACTTTGTATCTCGGAGACCCAATCATAGTTTTAGATAGGATTTCCATTTATAAGTCCTATTTTGTAATCTGTCATTTGATCAAGCAAGCGCTTTCAGCAAGCTCGAATACTAGTTGAAGTAAAGTTAGAAACATTTTCAATTACTTATATATACATGCGTACAAATGAATTGTCATCCAGTAAATTGGTTTAGAAATATAAAGGTAAAAAAACACTGTAAATCAAACTTCAAAGTATGAACGAGAAAAGTAAGGAATCAATCCATCGAGTCAATGTTACTTTACATGAAAATGATTGCCCCAATCTTGAAGTACTACCTAAGAATCTACACATCTTCTTTATCGACAAAACTTTTCAAAACCTAAATACTTTTCTCCCAAAACTTTATCCAAATAACGACAATATATAATTTATAAATTCTTTTTAATAAATATATACACATCCTCCATTCACTTATTTTTTTAAAGCATTTATAAATTATTATTATTATTATTATTATTATTATTATTATTGTTATTGTTATTAATATTATTATTATTTTACAGAAGCTGGAAATCATTATGGGAGCAAGAAAATTCAAAATAGAAAAGCTTAACAAGGACATGTTGGAAGTTGAAAATTTCCATTAAAACACACTTTTAATGCACACCCATTTGTTAACTCCTCCATTGGGTTGGTGGCAAAGTCCAACCAAAGTTGACTTTTTAATTAATATATTTTTTAAATATAACTTACACATACTGTTCATATTTGATGAGGTTTGAACCTTCTCACCTCTTAAAAGATCATAGATTATGATACCACTAGGTCAAAGACTCTTTGATATCAACTAGATCTTTCTTCTTTTGGTTATATACAACCAATTAATATTCAATAACATCACTTTCTGTTACCATGTTTTAAAATAAAAAACTTAAAACAAATTAAAACTTGAAACCTATAATATGGAATTTAATAATAGATTGCAATCACTTTTTGTTAACTTAGAACATGACATGTCAGTTTAAAGCAAATACACTTTGATACCTATTTTTTTTTCATTGGGTCAAAATTAAAAGGCGGGGGCCGCACACGCCCCTAGCTTATACCCAAGTCCGTTACATCTTAAGTACCAAAATTAAAGTTTTAAAAGTACATTACCCAAAAATAGGAATCAAGTTAAATTACATTATTTTTTCATGCAATTTGCCCTTTCTTATAAGAGATTATATAAAGTTTACATTTTTTAATATTCGATATTATTGTCATTTTAACTGTATTGAAGACAATATTATTGCCACACAAACTCAAATCGAACTCCAGATATTGAAAATGAATTGAAGTATTTCATTTGAACAAGCCAATATAGCAATGCCTTTTTTCTTCATATACACACATGACACACGAAAATAACCACAAAAACAAAAGCAAAACGTTATATTTTGTGTTCTATTGTTCTATGTTTATCCCACAAACTAATTCAAATCAACACTCCAAGTTTTCATATCAACAAGACGACTAAAGCTCGTCGTAAGGTTTCGTAGTATCGTCACCAATACGGGCCACCAATTTCTTCATCGCCATCTTCACCGTCGCCATCCCAGACTCCTTGTCTCCAAACAGAGCATTCGCTAAATCAACCACTCCAGGGTTTTGAGCATTGAACACAGAGTAAACAATTGCATCCTCAAATCCATTATTCAGACAATAATGCAACAATCCTTTCGGGAAGACAAACACGTCTCCTTCCCTCAAAACGCTCTGAAAAAGATTGCTTTTTGTGTCGATAAATCCAGCGATCACAACACCTTTTCCCACAAAGATCATCTCACTAGCTCTCGGGTGAGTATGAGGCGTCACCAGTCCATCAATTTCTAGGTCGGTTCTAGCAGTTGACAATCCTAAGGTATTAAGACCTGGGAACTCGGCAGCAGTGACTAGAGTGATAGAGGAGCGTAGGAAGGGGTCGGTGCTACCTTGTTGGCTTAATAGCAAGTTCTTGAAATCAGAGGTCGTGATGTTTGACGGGTTTTTGCAAGGGAAGCCATTGATGAATATGGTATCAGAGGACGTGTCGGTTGGGCAGGTGTCCTGGAGGTTATCGCTATTTGCAGATAAACTACATAACAAGGTAATGGCAATGGCAAAGAGAAGATTTGAGCTCAACATTTTTCTTTTGTTTTCTGTCAGTGGAGTTAATTTTGCAGTCTACTTTTAGAATGTGAGGTGGAGTACTTATAAATGTAAGGTTGCATCTAAGGGAAGAAACACTTGAGGCTTGGAGTTAGCTTTACTGCTGGTCTTCATGTTTGATTAAGTTGCAAGAATATGTGTATTGCTATCAAGAAAGATACAATGTTGTTATCCTAATTATATGCAACAAATGGGCTCCATTCTTTACCACAAAAATGCCAAAGCTCCTTTACTTGAGGGGGAAAAAGTCCTATATGCTAGGGTCATTCTCAGATGCCAACCCCCCCCCCCCCCCNCTTTTCCCCTAACTATAGTGCCAACTGCCAAGTCCCAACCCAATTTACTTATATGTAAAACAATTACTATCAGCAGAAAAAAAGCCCCAACTCTCCGAGAGGCTTTCAGGCTTTTGATGCATTTTTCATAATAAAAGGTAATTAAGTTTCTTGTGTTTGGTTTTTTGTAAATGAAAAAATTACCATACCTTTAGTTTACCAAAACGCTTACCCGGTAAGCGCTTATAAACCACTTACCTTACGGATTAACATGACAAGGGTCGAGAATCTTAACCGGTAAGAGGGAAGGCAAGAAACGAGAAGCTCATCCGATAAGTGAGAATGACGGCTCTTACCGGTGAGGGTGAGAGCTCTTACCTAGTAAGTGCTTACTAGGAAAGCTTGTGCATACTATGTCATTTTGATGACCAAGAATCTTACCTGGTAAGGTTCACAAAAGTGATGACTCTTACAGGTAAGCGTTTTGGTAAACGGACCCTTTATACTTTGTATTTAAATGAAATTATGTAAATGTAATTATAAATACTCTAAATTTGTAATTTGTTTGAATTTTAATATCTATTGTACATGGATAAGCATTTGACAAAAAGGACATTTTATTAAAACGATCTTGCCAACTATGAAACCACTGATTTTCTTACATTATTTTTAGCCCCCTAGATATTGATTTCTTGGCTCCGTCCCTGGTCATTCTGCTTCAAAGCGTGAGAATATGCAGGAACCCCATTAGATTACTCTCCCCTTGAGGAGAAAGGGGGGTTCCAATATATATAGTGGATAAATGGTCCAACTTTAGTTGATGTGGGACTCTAACATGCCTTCTCCAAGAGAGGCTAGACAAATGTTGAGACCCTAGATTCGTAGACCTTGGTTCTGATACCATGTGAGAATATGTGAAACCCCAATAGATTACTCTCCAAGACAACCCTTGTGGAGAGGGGGAAGGTTCCAATATAAATGGAGGAGATATTGGTCCAAGTCTGGCCGATGTGATTTGGATCAGCTTACCTTGCTAGATGTAGATAGATAAAGAGTTATTAACAGCAGCAGGTTACTTGTATACTAAGCTCTCCTCAACTGTCAACCAAAGGATGACTATAAAATTGCAAGTAAAGAATCATAGATATCAGCAAAATTGTAATCCAGTAGGCTAATTTAGTCTCAAATCAAATACCTGGTCTTAACAATTACGAAGAAGCAGCAAAAATGAGAGATGGTTTCAAAGTTCAAATTAATCCGCTCTCCTCCGGCTCAACCTGACCATTCTCAACAGTAAATTTGGTTGTCTCTTTAAGTATGTCAGAAAGGAACCTTATTAAGGAGCAGAGCCCACCCAAGAAGTTGTGATCAATGACACCTCGACCTTCTGTAACATGTGCAAAATCTATAAGCTTGACTTCTGCATTTGAACTAGCACCTTTTAACGCCAAACCCTTTTCATACATGAAAAGAATTGAACAAGCATAGAAGTGGTAGATAGTTTGATCCTCAAACCATGCCTTCAGTTCCAACAATTGAGCCAAAATGCCATCAGGTCCTCCATAAACAGAAGATGCTAAAGAACAATCTGGGTCGGTTTCCATTTCTGCAGATGGATTAGAGGAAATAAATTTCCTAAGAAGTAGTTTAACATCATCTGGGCCAGCTTTACGGATAGCATCTCTATGAGGCTTATAAAACCCTAATTCATCACTGATATAGACTCGCAGCCCTGATATCCTGAATCCCAACGGAACACTTGTGCTCTCCCTATCCTTCCTCAAGCATTTTGCAACGTATGCCTCAGAAGATTCTGGAGCCCAGGTTCTGGCGCCAATTTTGATGTCCATTACAGAGGGATTTATGCGGGATGAGGCAATATCTTGCAACACAATATGAGGATGTTCAGCTCCAGTGGATGCCTTCATGACTTTGGTGCCATAAAAGATAGGGAAAAATCTACGGATGTGTTCTGGAATTTCAGTGTTGGAAGAGAATGATTCATAGAAGGCCACCTCTTCAGACCCACGTTTATCGCTCTGGAGAGGCTTGTAAAAACGGCCCGAATCATCAATGAGGGGACCAAGCTTCCCAACCCGAGCTTCGTGTCCAGCAACCTGATGATCTGGGATCTTAAGCATGTCTCTATCACAACAAACCTTGCAGCAGTCACAAAGAACCAGAGAGAATATCAGCCTTATTTAGCATACTATAGTGAAATTTAATTGAATGTCAAATTGCACTTCACAACATCGATACAAATTGCAAGTTGAAACACCAGTTGGACTGTCCACCACACAAGATGATGGAGCATATGCTTAATAACTTAAAGTGGCATACTAATTATTAAAGGAGAGGTTGACCAATAAGCTGTGAGTGCTCTTTTTAGCTTTTACACCTATCTATATTATAATTTAGTTGAACATCAAATCACAGTTCACATTGATTGCTCCTCTAAAGTTTCAAACTCTCTTACCTTTCCATGGGAGTGAAATAGTTAACAAATAGGAGTAACACTAGATACTCCTGTCATTTTCTAAGATAAAATCATGGACCTAACTCTTGTTATCAACTCATCTTCACCCTGCATGACTTTATCTGCAAAGATTCTTTACAAGTCTGGTCTATAAACAAGAATACCAACAACCAATTCATAAGGGATAAGCATCAAAGAGGTCTAATATGGAATAATTGTCAAGAATTTTTTGTAGAACAGCCTCCATCCCTCTCCCCCTTTTACTTCACTCAAAATTCTAACCGCTCCCTCATATTCATTTTCTAGCATCATTCAAGAAAATGAGCTAAGGTCCATGCTTACCAACCGAAACCATTACCAAGCATAAACAGGACCCGTTTCTTTTATAGAACTAAAATACTCTAGCATACTACAGGATCAGTTAAGACTGTAACTATGTCGCAAGGATAAGAGTGTGGAGATATGGGTGCTTTTTGATAAATCAACCACACAGGGTCCATCTGTATACATTTGTTCTATACGTGTCTAAAATCAAACCAATAAAGAAAAAAGAATATGATAGGTTATACATTGTACATATCAGTAAGCACACGCATAAGCTTAAGCCTTTATCTCCTAACTTTTACTTGGTGCACCCCACAATATTCTAAAGCAGAGGGGAATATTTCGTTGCATTTGCCGCTTCTTCTTTTATCTCTTCCATATTCATCAGATCTAAGTTCCATCAGTCATATTATGCATTGTCATCTCTTGGTTTTTGCATAAAACCATTACCCCCATTCATGGTAAAAAAAAAAATACAGGTCCGTTTCCTACTCTTATAGGACTTCATAATCAAATCAACAGTAATAAGAATATAATCAGATTCGATTAGAAATATAGTCAAAAACACGATCCACACAGCATTTTCTTCAACTCAAGATGTTCAAGAATCATCCATTAACGTTCAGAGAAATATGTGATTTGACCCCTAACCACCCACAGAATAAAAGGAGTACAATTCATCGATTCAGAGACAAACTCCATCTCTATTTAAGATCAAAAAACACCAAAATGTGTTTGTTCTTCAATGCATGAACTAAACCCCTTTCATCGATATTTTCAGAAAAATCAACAACAATGGATGGTAAATCAAACGCAGAATTCAATTAACTAAAAACTAAAGATATGAACGACTGAATTTATCGATTAATTACCTGAAAACAGGAGTATAAATCTTTCTGAGAGGTTAGATAGAGATGTCGATAGAATGTCGACTGATTTAGATGAACAGCAACGGAAGCATGTTCTCCTCTGCTTAGCCTGTTGATCCGGACGTTAAGGGCTTTAATTACATTCACCACCCTCATGTTAATGGTACTAATTGAACTCATGCCCTTCTACTTTTACATATTTATAATTATGATACCGCAAGAATTAGAAAAAGTACTTCATATTTAGGAGTTGTTTATTTACCTCTTAATAGTTTCATCAAGAGACAATCTTTGAATCGCTAAGAGGTGAATTTTGTTTGGCAAAAAAAAGTCTGTCTCTTAATAGTTCTAAAATCCTCTCAATAATTTTATATCATGAGTCTCCTTAATCATTCAGCGCCCTAAATTCATTGTAAACAATTATATTTCATTTTACACTATATCATGAGAGCCTATTAATCATTCTGACCACTTAATCATTCAAGACCAAAGCATTCAACAACTGTCAAACAGTCTCTTACCTTTTATGTTAAAGGTTCAAATAAGTTAAATATCGTGAGAAAATAAGAAGAAAAGATTAAAAAAATATTCATATGTGAATCATTCAAAAGATACCCAAATGAATTATCATGTGATGTTGGTTCATATAAGCATATTCAAATAGACTTTTTCAAATTCGACATGTAGCTCAGGGATGTGGCCACTTTGCCAAAAAAAAAAAAACAAGTCTCTGGTTCGATCTTGAACCCCCCCCCCCCCTAGTATCCGTCGCTAAGTGGGTTAAAAATGTCTCTCATATTGGTGTCATTTGAGATAGGGGTGTTCACGGGTTGAGTTGGTCGGGTTGAAGACATTTGAACAAGTCAACTCAATGTTTGCGGTTTGAAATTTTTTAACTCAAGATACTTTGATACATAAAAGTATTCTTCAAACTTTGAATATGTTATTTTTTTACTCATAATTTTTTTTTATTATCAACCATTTGATATAACTTATTCATATTTCTTACGTATATCACATTTAATTAATTTTCTCAATTTACATATATATGTTTACAGTTACTGAACATATATACAGATGAGTTATATAAATATATGTGAATGGATTGAAAGTATGTATATATGAAAAGCGTACGTGTTAGTGTCATTGCCTAATGTATATATTAATAGAAATTCAACAATAATATTAAATCGAAGAAATAAAAGAATATTTGGTTCATCGAGTTTGGTTGGGTTCAAATAACAGTAACTCAATATCAACCCAATACATACTGTTTGAAAATTTTACAACTCGAATAGACATCGGATTGCTTCAAGTTGAGTTATTTTGCATTAGATTGGGTTGAGTTGATCGGGTTAGTCATGTTTTTGAGCACCCCTACTTGGAGATGGGTTATGGACGGCCAGTTGGGGTTATCGGTAATCAATTTTTTGTCCAAATCGTTTTTTCGGAATTTTTTTTAATGATTTACACATTTGGGTGAAAAGTTTATTACCGACAACCCCAACCATAGTGATCTCCTTCATAACATTTTATTTTTATATTTTCATGATATTTAGTCTTTTAATTTAAATAACTTGTACCTTTTATTTTTTAGTCAACTTATAATAAATAACAGCATACTTTTGTTTATTTTTAACTTAGTCGTGATATTTAAAAAATTCATCACTAGAATTATTTTGTTGTTCAAAATTGATTACTTTCTATAATTTTAGTAACCAAATATATAACATGCTACCAAACGTCCTTTGGCCTAGCGGTATATGAGTCTTTGATCTCTTAGAAGGTGCAAGAGTTCAAACTTCATCAAAGGTGATGAAAGTATGTAAGTTTATTTGTTCTATTTATCGTATATAAATGTTATATACTTCAAAATATATATATAGATAACATGCTAACGAAGTGGAATCATGTTTATTATTTTTTGTTAAATTCGTATGGTTTTTTCAAGTTGTTATTTGTTGCAATTTGACATTTATTTTAACATGTATAAAAAGAGAGAAAAAAATAACCATAAGGGTTAAAACCGAACATTTTTTAAAGTGTAGGGATTTGAGTGCAATAAATTTGACCAACTTACTATCTCTAGAATTGTAAAAGTCAATAAACTTCAACCATGTAATAGAATTTGTTAAAAAATTTAATTTTAAAATAATTTAAATGTTGTCATATTTAACCAACTGTTTAATCAAAAAATAAATGGATTATGAAACCTATTAAAGCAGTTAAGGTTTAGGATTTTGTAATGAAATGTTGATAAATACTTTTTTTAAAATTTTGAAATTTTTTTCTTAAACTAAATATAATTTAATAAAATAATCATTTAAAATATGTAGTTAAACTAAAAATATATTAATAAAATAATTATTTAATATGTAAAACAATATAAAATACGTCATCCAAGTGTCGGTAAATTATCAAGCTCCCTTTTTTATTAAATTTGATTTTTTTCTTAAACTAAAAATGTTTTGATAAAATAATAATTTAATATGTAATTAAACTAAAGAATATAACTTAATAGGTCTTTTTGTTGATTATTTAGAATTATTAATTATTTTCATGTTATTATTCAATATATTTATTCAATCAAAAATCATTACGTCCAAAATCATAAAATCGATTTTGATCGAGTAAATCACAAAATATCAACAAAATGACAGAAAGAACGAAAATGTCTCTCATTAACGGAATTTTTTAACGGTCATTAGAGGAATGAATTAAATCTGGACGTTGTTGTCAACCATGATAGCCATAGTATAGTTTCAAAATTGCAGGAACAAAAGTGTTATTTTTGATGAACCACATGGACCAAGTTTGTAGTTTATGGGCTGTTTGTTTACCTCTCAATAATTATGAACTAATCTATGAATCGCTAACAGGTGAATCTTGTTTTGAGAAAATAAAATTTATCTCTTAATGGGTGTAAAACCATTTGAATGATTTTGTATATTGTGTCTCACCGAACCTTTCAACCCCCTAATTACACGTCTTTAATCCCTTTATCCTAACAACATTAAAAACATATGCTAAAATAGGTTAATTCGTGGGTCTAGGTTGATTTCACAATCATAGGACATTATATATATATATATATATATATATATATTTTTTTTTTTTTTTTTGAGACCGTATCAAATACAAACCAATCAAATGTTACAAATCAATCTCAAACATTCATCTAGTTTAACGAATTTTTGGTTTCATAAATACATCGATTGTTTTCTAACATAAAACGTTAATCATAATTAATGAACCCTAATTATATTTTTTAAATATTTAAATCATAGTAAACAAATCTTAATCATTTTTATGATTTGCATTTGATTTGTTTATGTATATATATATATATATATATATATATATATATAACATAATAATTTGTTTTTAAATTCTAATAGAAAATAAACATAATAATATAGATTTCAGACTTCATACGTAAAAATAAGCAGTCTGACTAATTCAGATTTCATACTTCAACACCACTTCTTATAAATTAAAAGTAAAATCAAACTTCAGAACCTCTTAAAAACAAACAACATAAGTAACTAAATGTCCCATGAGTTAACCTACTAAATTAAATATTTAAAACAAAGTTACAGTAATAGATAGACGTGAAAATGTAAACCAACGACATGTTTTCTCAACCACTATTTTGATATAACGATGCATAGTGCGATTTTCGTGTAACCCAAGTGGATTATTAAGGGGTTGTTTATTTACTCTTAATAGTTTTATTAATAGATAATTTTTGAATCATTAAAAAATGAATTTTATTTGAGAATTTTTTTTTGTCTTTTAATGATTTCAAAATCTTCTGAATGATTTTGCATCATTGATTGTCCTTAACCATTCAGTGCCCTAATTTAATTGTAAATAATTATTAAACAATTATATTTCATTTGTATTATATTATAAGAGTTTTTTAATCATTCTAACTATCAAATTATCATACATTAAATCATTCAGCAACAAATAAACAGTCTTTAAATTTATTTTAAAAAAACAGGAGTAATATGCAATTTGGCAAAAAAGCAACACGTCTCGTCAGTAACCAGCATAAACAATCCACGTGTTGGGCACATGATGACAAGTATATCCATTCACGTTTTCCACTCTCACCCCCCACCATTACCTCTTTAGCGCCATATCCTCTCTTATTTAAGTCTTTTGTTGATTTAGTTTCGTTTACCAAATTCTTATCTTGGTCGACTTTTACTAAGTCACATTATATGATTGGACGAATATGGTAAGAACCAAGAATTTTACTCAGTAAGAGCGAGACAAGGACCAAGAGTCTTACCCGCTAAGTAAAGGCGATGACTCTTACCATAATTAGCGCTTACAAGGTAAATCGTTTCATACGATGCCGTTTTTGTTGACTAAAATCATATATAATAAGTAAGTGATAGTTTTGAATTTTACTGATAAGTGGTTACCGGGTAAGCGTTTGGTAAACGACACCTTAGATGGAATTTTTCGGGGTTTTTTTTATTTCAAGATACTATTTTAGTTTTTTGATTGGTATTTTTTTAGTTAAATATAATGGTATTCATGTAATGCAGTAAGATATATTTCGATTTTAATGTTTTATTTTAGTTTTTGGTCTATGTCGATATTATAATACGAATTTATATAATTTTGAACAAACAATAATGTTTTTCTTTATAAAAATAAATTTAAAGATATCATAAAAATTATAAAAGTTCTGATTTTTTTTGTGTAATTTCTTTAATTCAATTTTTTTTATCATAATATAATTTAGGTTTAATGACGAAGTAATTTATTTTTGGTGTAATAATTAATTTCTATAAAGATAATAACTAAGTATTATGTTAGAACTCAATAATTATCCTAATTATATTTTTTATTTTAAAATAAGAATTTTTTCCTGTATTTGATTATATCTACAGTTAGTTACAAGAATTCAAACATGGAGCTTAATAAGTTGTACTTATATATAATTTATTTGTAATCTTGAACTTTAAATAATATGCATCAATAAACAGTATTGCATGCATAAATGATGATTTTTAAATTTTTTTATCAAATGCTTTATAATATAGTATAGATATAAA